GCAGACTTAGTCAGCCTGTGTTGCCCTAACAGGATGAGCTTGACTCATGTTCATGCTGACATTGTGGCAACTTCACACATCTTCATCTACCTCTACAAGTACCTATTCAAGGGCATTGATCATACTCTCTTTGCAGTCTTGAATGAAAACCAGCCTGCCATCAATGAGATCACCAACTACATCAAGGGCCATTATCTTTCTGCCACAGAAGGTGCCTGGAGGATTGCAGGCTTTGATATTATTATGCAATCTCCTTCTGTCACATGGCTAGCAGTGCACTTGGAGGGAGAAAACTATGGGCAGTTTTTCCAAGCACACAATAATGAATCTTCAGCCTCAACTCTGTTGTACTACTTTGCCTGACCCCAACTGCCTCAATTTCTGCCTTTGCTCTATGAAGAGTATTTTTCACAATATATTTTTGAGACCTGGAATGGCCAACTGCCTAATGATGTGACAACTTTCCTGGAGGAGCCACAGCAGTACATGCCTCAGAAGCTTGTGAAATGATGGACCACCTCCCACCATGCTTGCCTTCAGAGTATCTCACCCTCTGCTGGAGATGTCTTCTACCTTTGGTGCTTGCTACAGCATTGCTCAGCTCTCAGTCATGCAGAGCTGTATCAGGTTCAGCAGGTTCAATACAACTCCTACGCAGCAGTTGCACATGCCTTGGGCCTGTTTGAGGATGAACATGAGGGTGCATATGCACTTGCTGAGGCAGTTTTGGATCTATGCACTCCTGGCCAGTTGTGGTTCCTCTTTGCACACATCCTTATTGAAGGCTATCCTGCTCCTCCACTATGGACATGGTACAAAGATGAACTCTCTGTAGACTTAAGACAATGCCTACAAGATGTCGAGATGGCCTATGACCAGACACTTCTTGCTATTGGCAAGTTTCTTGCAGACATTGGCAAGGAGCTAAGGCAGTATGGTTTACAACAGCCAAACTGTTGGTCTGCAGAGGTGGAAGAACAGCTTGCTGCTTTTGCTCCTCACATGCTCAGATTAGCAGAGGAATGGCAGGTGGCTTTTGCCAGGTTTACTGCAGAGCAACAGCTGCTCTTCAATGAGTTCCATCAAAAACTGGGTGCTGTTCCACATGACTCCACACCAATGTTTCTTGAGGGAAAGCCTGGTCAAAGAAAAACATACCTGGTGAATGCACTCTGTGCTTGGCTTTGCAGCCATGGCAATGTGGCGCTTGTGGTTGCCTCAACAGGAATTGCTGCATCCAATTACAGGAGGGGATGTACAGCACATTCCCTGTTTCAGATTCCGGTTCATGAGGTATGTAGACTGCATAGCAGTTGCATTATCAGATTTAATTCTTTTTTTCAGAATCATGTTGGCATTACATCAGAGATTCGAGTACCATCACTCCATGCTGATCTCATCCATGCTTCCAGCTTGATTGTTTTTGATGAGCTTCCAGGAGCAAATCAAACAACAGTATTGATGCCATCTGTTGCCTCATTGAAAAAAGGGATATTCCATTTGAAGGCATACCTTTTCTTGGTGTGGGGGATTTCTGTCAGGTTGCTCCTGTTGTAAAGGATGGGGGAAGCATGGCATCCTATGCCACTTCAATCCTCTCCAGCCCTTTGTGGCATTTCTTCCAGCTTTGCACCCTCCATGCACCAATACAAAATCAGCAAGACCTGGAATTTTCAGAGTTTGTGGATGAGGTTGGAGCAGATATATCGCAACAAAGGATTCAGCTTCCAATGTTTGGGACCATCAAGTCAGAGATGGAGGTGCTCAACTTTCTCTATCCACCTCCAATTCTGAATGACCTGGCAGCCTGTATGTGCTGCAGCTTTTTATCTCCTCCAAACAAGGTTGTTGATGAGTTCAACACATTAGCGTTGAGTTTGCTTGCCACAGATGAAGGTACACTTCTTACCTTCTTTAGAATGCATGGCTAATATATTCTATCAAGTGGTCTATTACAGTGCCAATTCCATCAAGGAGGCTGATGACTTGGATGCTGATGATCCGCACCTTTTGCCAGACTATTTAAACAACCTACAGAAGACAGGAGTGCCTCCACATGAATTGGTGCTTAAGGTGGGCTCTATCTGTGCACTGATGCAAAACCTCTCTGTGAAGGCTAGGCTGGTGAAACATGCACAGGTAGTAATTGAGAAGTTGCATCAAAGGTTTGTGCAGGTCCATGTCTTGAAAGCCAATGGTGAGGTGGGGGATGTGGTACACTGCATCCCACGGATCCATTTCTCCTTTCAACCATTCCGTGCCAGCTGGACTGTGATACGTATGCAAATACCACTTTGACTGGCATATGCAACTACCTTTAATGCCTGTCAGGGTCTTACCCTAGACTGGACGGTGCTGGATGGACGGAGTGATGTTTTTGCACATGGGCAGCTCTATACAGCACTTACTCGAGCCCGGTGCCTGCGCCTTATCGATCAGGCGCAAGGCACCACCATAATTCCGGCCTGTCAAACGGGACAGCGGTTGTTTTCTGATGTTCGATAGGCGATGACAAGCTGCTAAAAATGTATTGTCGGAATTCGGACTAGGCGGGTGCCGTGCTTGTTTCCGTTCAGGATGCCGTGCATAGCTTTATGCCTGACCGGAGCTCGTGTTAGCCGCACACCATGACGATCCAACAATGATCGACTCACTTAGCATTAGCGCTGCATCCCGCAGACTATATATCGCAGTTGATTACCTGGTATCCCTCCGCTGACCATAACGCCCGTAGATTCGCATGAGCGCAATTCACCGCCAGATTTCATACTGATGCGCTGACTTCCAATAATGACAAGGATTCTTATTGTTCGCTTATCATCCTCGTGTTTACCGCACGCTCCGGGATGGGCGCTCCGATGCGTCTGTGCTCCCCCTTCTTGCTATGGGGTCACGAGAATGCCTTCACGATATTGAGCGGGAGATCATTGATGGGCATTCGGCGTTGCTCATATAAGAGTCTACAGGGCCGTGCTGTCTGTAGCCGCAGCCCACTGCCCACTTCCCTGCACTCGAAACGTTTCCCACACTCAGTAACCGCGAAATCCATCAATCGTCGTCATGAAGTTCGACTACATCGGTGATGCGCTCGAGGGCCCCACTTTCTCCTGGCCCGATCTCCGTACCACCATCTCTTGCGGCGTCCTTCTCGTCCCTGTCGTGAGTCTACAGTTATCGAGTATCAATTACAGCACGATGTTGATACAGAATTAGGCTGGACTTGCATACAAGTTCCTATTCTAGACGTGCGAAAGGAAGAGATCGTCTGAGGACTCGCTCATGCGTTCTGAAAGCCGCGATCACTTGTCGCAAACAACGAAGACGTCTGACTGCAGTATGCACCAGGCGAGGCATCGAGGTTGTGAGGTCGCTGCAGTTCAAGTGTATAGTGTCTGTTGCATGATGTTGATTTCGACCCTGTTGTATGTTGTATGTGATGCTGTACAAGTTCCGATCCATTGTAATCTTTATTGCAACCCCCGTCTATCGTTTGTGCGTCCGATCAGGCCGCAGGCAAAGAGAAGTCTCGGCAGTCTTCGCTGGTTTCTTTGCTGCCTCCAATCCAGGAGGCATCATTGATCAGATCCGACCTCCACTTGACGAGTCTAATTTCGTGCCAGTCGATCGCATCCTGCAAAGGTCTTCCGCTATCGCATTCCATGGCTGCATGTTGCACCACCCGCAAGAGGGAATCGGGAGCAGCAAGCCTTGAGTCAATCATGCGCTGTAAGACGGCCGAGGTGACCTTCATACCTCCAAGGGAGAGTGCCTCAAGCTGTGGCGCATAGGTTTCAGAATATGCGTGCAGGTCAAGTAAAGATATGATCTGGTCACAGTCTGAAAACGATCGGTCTTGACTTATAATCAGCTCGAGTGTGCGAAGTGAATGGGAAGACACGAGGAAACGCTGCACCAACTCGGGAGTGAGGCAGCCGCCAAGTAGTAAATGTTGTACGTCAGCCAGATCCTCCTTCCAGAAGCGTTGAAAAAAAGTGTCATCCGGGAAATCGTCCAGCAGTAATGTGACTTCCTTGAGTTTGGGTGCCACTAGTCGTGCTGTGGTGTACTTGGTGATTTCGTATGGTACATTTGCGAGCTGGAGCGACGCCAGGAAAGGAAGAGAGACAACTGATTTCGGTTTGTACTTGAGGATCGTAGAGTGATTCAGTTCCGTATGCAACGCCGCGTTGCTGGAAGAGACGGATAGTGCACGTAGACCATTGTAGTGGTAATCAATCACGTTCATCAATACGCAGGGTTCGAAGTCCAGACAGAAGGAAACATGCAGCTCCAGCAAGTTGGGGAACCGGTAGGAAAGTAGATCGATGACGTCGCTCGAGCTGATCTCTTGCAGATGGAATCGCTGGAAGCGATCCTGTGCTTGTTGCAATAGAGCGATTGCGCCGATCGAGGGCGACATGCCCTTTTGATAAGCCCAACACGAGGTGTTCGCCCAGAGCGAGATTCCCACCATGCCTGATCTTCCCCACTTGTGCCCGACTGTCATACTATAATCCAGATGAGCGACGTGTGCCCACAACCGGGGCATCTTTAGCACGATTTGTCTCCAGAAGCGGCATACGAGGGACAGTCGCGTAGGGAGGAGGACCAGCCCGAGCACAGGGCGTACCCATGCATGCCAGCGTGCCGTGCGCGTGCTGGAGGCGGCGGTCTCCAGGATGTAGAGAACATGTTCGAATACAAGCTGTACAGCTTCGACTGGGAACCAGGAGATTGGTGAGCATGTATGCTGGATTGTCTGCTTGTTCAGTTGGACCGTTCGCACAAGGTCCCGTCCACTGTGAAGGAGAAGGCGCTGGTTGTCACGTGCGGAGTCGCGAAGTCGCAGCTGGCAGGCGGCATGATGGGAGCGGTCTTCTTCATCAGAGATGGTGCGCATGCACTTTCGTTCTTCCATGTTACTGTATGGTGATATCTCGGTAATGAATTGATAGACGAAGGGTGCTCAAAGAGGAAAGAGTAGACTACGAAACCGCGGTCTGACCCTGCCAGTGCTAATGTGTTCATCTCTTCGACACCTTCACTGGAACGTGGGTTTCACCGTGTGTTACATGCCTCCAACTGGAACATCCCCTTGTGAAGTCTATGTTTTGTGTATGCAGTACGATTGAAAACATGGGCAGACCAAAGTTTCACCATCCTGATTACTTTTGGAATATTGCTAGATCAGAAATTCAGTCGTCCTGTGCTCCAGGACCAGCAGCACCATTCAACCACGAGCAATCGTCGCTCTACCACTGCCTGTGCATACTATTTTGGATTTTTGGTCGAAATGTATGCATGCAGAAAAAGCACGGGCTCGAGGTTGGAGGAATGCTTCGTTCCTTCTGCACGTACGGGGAGTCGGAAAAACAAGTGAACAACAAGGAGATCAGAGCGGTGCCTCTTTTGGTGAAGTGCAATTGATTCATCCAGTTCCTCATGCGATAAACGGTGATCATGTAAACCAACTTTTATCCGGATCTACGCCGTGGAACATTCGTCTGTCCGGAAGCCCATCCCCAACGGACCAATGCGGGTCATGTCCCCAAGAAGTTGTAGAAAAGCCTGGTCCACCTCTTTGGGACCAACAAGTGAGCGTCCCGTATCGATCCGAACGTTGAATACCATGCCCTGGTTTGACAATGAGAATAGGGACTACACTTCTTTTTCTGTTGGGGCTATCCAAGGGACAAGAATAGAACTGATAACGGCCTTAGTCGGGGAGACCCGTTCCTCCAGCTGAGCAAGGCTGATCGACAGAAGCAGAACCCAGTCAAAGTAAGATCGAATGAGCCAACTGTGATTCGTCAAACAAAGAATCGTCCGCGGTGCTGGGAGCTCAGAGAATGCGCTGCGCCGATGGCCCCCGGCCGGCGATAAAGTCAACTGACTGAGGGATTGGTGTGTCGATTTAGAGCTAAGGAAGAATGGAAGTCGCACGAGTGTTAATAGAGCAGCGCTAGGGGAGGAAGTGAGACCACGTCTGAATGGCTTTAGGCTCACTTGAATGCAAATGCAAATGAATAGCTCACGCACGTCGTGAGTAAGAATCCCAATCACGGAACCCTGCCTGTTCAGTACAGTTTTCTGATCCCGTGCCGACAACTTGATTTCTCATCAACGCCGCCGAAAAGACCGGGGATGACATTCCCTCGCACAGAGAAAGAATACCGCGGTGAAACAGCGGGAGCGGGATCTAGCAGAGACAGCAGTGTTGACTCCTGTGTATACTTATATTGAGTAGAAGAAAGGAGCTAAGAGCGCACCACACGAATACAATTTAGGTAATAAACAAGTAAACGGCGTGGACCGTATGGTCAGGAAGTCTGCTTGGTTCTGGTTGGATGGTCGGATTTCTTTCATTGTGGTCATAGTCAAGAAAGTGATGCGCAGCTTCCGTATATCCGCTGCTTTCAGGTAAATCGGGTTCGGAGGGCTGTTCCTGGAATTTGTATCGTGATTGATGGGTCTGGGCCTTCATCTGGTCTATTGGACATACTGTATGTCGAGGACATTCTCCTTCGCGACTGATTCTATTCCACAAAGATGGTAACCACGGCGTAAGTCAGCGACTCCAATACATACAACGAAGCGCTCTTTCGCCCTGATACAGGATGAAAGACAATATCCACCGATTGGAATTCGCTTTGAGGAGTGTGGGGAGGAGCCAATGTTCGGCGTGGAGTTCGGGCTCTCGGCGGGCAGAGGGAAGAGAGGGAAAGTGATCAGCAAACAGGGACGGACAACGAGGAGAAAGGCGTCGCCATTCCTGGCCACGGTGAGGCATGCTGGCAACTGTATTGGCAAGGGCATTGATTGCTCATCAGGCCAGATCAGTTAGCATCACGTCACGCGGGAAGGAGCGCCCGTGCGCGTGCGCTGTGCGGTGCTGTGCTTCGATTTAGGGATGTTCTCTGTTCTGGGATGGCGCTCCGGTAGGTTCGAGAATATCATGAGCACGAGCAGGGAAGTGTTTTTGGGGTATCCGCGGAAGTTCCCGTGTGAAGCTGCAAATAGACTCAGAGAGACCAAGGTTGGTACTGTTGAGCAGGAGGAGAGGGGGAGCGTAAAAAGAGAGTTAGTTTGCTCAGCATCCGCTTTCCTTTCATTTTACTAAGGGTGAACGAGCGGAGAGACCCGGCTGTGCCAAAAGGGGACCCGCCCGAGCCGCCCGCGCCCGATCGTGAATTAGCGGAAGTATTTCCTTGAAAGATGTCGTGGCAGTGTAACGGAAGTAAAATGTCATCATCGTAATACGGAGGAAGTGGCGAGTGACACGGCACATTCAAGTGTATGTGTGAGGGTCCGGTCCCGTTCCCGCCGCGCCCGCCGTCCACCATCCACTCTCCTTGCATTCAGCACCGGACGTCGAGCTCCGGGTGAGGTCGGCACGCGCTCACTTTCTTACAATCACCTGTGTATACACTTTTACCACAGCGACGAAGACAACAGACACGGGATCACCCACACCACACACACACACCGAGTACTAAGAGAACTAGGCGCATACATCTGGTCTGTTCATCGCTTAACCACCTACTGCTCGACGACGCTAACCGCAATATCGCTAGCCTACCCGAGATACGTCTTTCTCAACACCCCCCTGTCGACTAAACGATTCTATCGCAACACCATTTTGCCGCTTCGCATCCGCACAAACGTAACCACCTCACGACCCCGCATCTGCAGTCTACTGCCGACACTGAGACCCGAAACCCGCGAGGGTAATCACTAACGAGAATGATGGACGGGTACGTACCCTACATTCCTATCCAGACCAACTCTGCTGACTCCGCGAGCAGACGTTCAAACCAAGGGTATCACGACTTTCCCTTTGGCTCATCTTCCTCTTCCACCTTACCCGGTCCACCAGCCTCAGGCTCCTACCACAGCAACCAATCCTCGTATCCTTACTCCTTCCCTCAGGAGCAGGGATACAACCTTCAGTCTTCCGGATCGTTCAACTTCCCGGCCCCCTCACAACAACAACAACAACCGCAGCAGCAGTATGGCGCTGCTTATCCCGCACAACAACAGGCCTACGTCCAGCCACGGCAGCCGCCACCTGGGGGAGCAGGGTTGGGGATAAGTGGAGGTATGGGGTTGGGGATGAGTGGAATGAGCGGTGGTATAGGAGGCAGCGGAGGAGGCGGGAGTATGGGTTCATCACAGAATGTGGGGAATGTCATTCAAAGTACAGGACAAGCAGGGATGGCGGTTCGCAAGCGGCCCAAGGTGCGTTATATTTATTCTCTGTGTACGTCGACCACCCTCTGTGGTCCTTTGGACTGTCTCCGCGGCGTACATCAGGGGTAGCGACTAGAGTGCATATATGCGAGTACTGACACCTTTCTAGTATACGCGCAGCAAAGCCGGCTGTCTGACATGTCGGCAAAAGAAGATCAAATGCGACGAGCTGCATCCCATTTGCACTAGATGCTTACAATCCCACCGCGAAGTAGGTTTTCTTCTTCCCATCAATCCCCTATCCATACTAATAATCCGCAGTGTGTATGGCCACCTGATGCTCCCACCCGACGCAAGCCTACTTCTGCACCCGGATCTGCGCCTGGCACACCATCCAACTCCTCGCGACCCCATCCTTACGCCTCCGGCCGTCCCTCCCACACCCGCACCCAATCGCACGGCCACCTCGCCCCTGGCACCCAGGGCAGCAGGAGCCACTCCCCGCCCAGTGGAGCAGAGAGTGGGGCAAGTCTGGGGGTGCCAAGCCCTGCGACAAGCGCGAGTGGGGGTGGGGCGGGCAGCAGCGCGGGAAGGAGAACGAGTCCGCTTGCTGGGAGTGGTTATCCACCGTATGTCCTTTACCGTTATTCTTACCCTTTATGCAGAGACTAACAGTGGGACACAGTGTACAGCAGTACTCCTCTGGGCAAGAATTCGATCCCAACTTCCTGCCTCTTCTTAGTGCCATGCAGCAACAACGACTTAACCAGCCGAACCAGCAGCAGCAACCGTCAACATCCTCCGATGCCTCACCAGAGATGCCCCCTCTCCCAAGTGACACAACCGCGACCACCGCAGCGTCGAGCGCAGGCATGCCTTCTTCCCCAGGGATCTCCAATAACAACGCTTGGTGGAGCGGAATGCTTACTCTACCTTCCCCGCAAATACATAATTCGAGCCTCAAATTTCCGACCGAGGATGGGGGCTGGTGGGATGCCGGACAGGTGTTTGCCCTTAATGGGGATAAGGAGCAAGGTGGCCAGACACAAAACGGTCACAACGCGCAGAACGGACAAAATGGGCAAGGTGCGCAGAACGGGCACACACAGAATGGTCAGAATGGGACGGTAGCTGCGAACGGAGCGCTGATCAACGGTGGCCCATCCTCCCTCTCGAATGGTCACCCTCCCAGCCCAGGAAACCCGGATCTCGCCGCCCTGCTCTCCCTCTACCCGTCCCCAACCCATAACGCCACCGAGTTCTCCCCTTCATCCCTTTTCCCTCCCTTTAGCTTGGGGAATGCCGCCTCCCCACCTCTGGCGATGCCCGGCCAACCATACCCCCTGGCTCCAGCACAAAATCCACTGAGCCCGTTGAACATGAGCCCTCCTCCCCTAGACCCTAGCTTCATCGCCCAGCTACAAGCCTTCCAGGGTGCGCACTTCCCCTTTCTTCCTTCCTGCACTCCTTCCCTGGTCCCATTTTTGCAAGGTTTAAACCCTGACGTAGTCCTAGGGATGACGACACCCTACAATCCCGGCGTCCCACCCTCCCAAGGTCAGTGGGGCCACACGCTTGCCTCCCGCCCCATCGCCGCTCTCGAAGGTGTCCCCGGGCCAGGCACGAACGGAGATCTTGCCCAACCGCTCATGGCCGGTCCAGACCCGTTCGAGCCGTATTTCCAGACGGTGGAAGAAAGGAACCTGGTGCGTTTATCTTCTCCCCATCGGTTGTAGATGGGGAGTGCTGATTTTGTCTTCTCTATTATCTGCTCTTGCCTGGATTCTGATTTGGACTTGGATTGTGATGTCATATGATTATGTTTGGTGCGCGTGATCCAGATCCGACACTATTGCCAGACAGCGACGAAGATCATCATGGCCGTTCCTTCGGACCTGAATCCAGTTCTGGCGATCAACCTTCCACTCGTGTTCGAGCACCCTCCGGGCCAGAACAGCGCCACGGAAGCCCTGCGCCTTTCTCTCCTCGGTGTGGGGGCTATCCACCAGGCTTACCTTCTCAGTCGACATGGCGTTAATAGCGCCAGCCAGCAGGAGATGATGAACCTTGCTGTGACCCTCAGACTTACGGCGACACATTATCTTAGGATGGCGTGTCTTAGCCCGCAGGGAATGGAGAGTGACGCTGCCCTAGGCGCGAGTATCACCATCTCTTTGATCGACGTGAGTGAGCATCTTCTTCGAGCGTGGGCATGTATTTACCCACGATGTAGATATTCACCGGAGGGCAGAACTGGACGGCTAACCTCGCACTTGCTAAAACGCTCGTCGACTTGCGCGGTGGCCCACGCACGATCATCGCCACCAACAAGCCGCACCTGATCGACGGCGGGGCCAAGGTATCCCCGGCTCGGCTCCTGCTCGAGATCCTAGCTGTGTACGACACTTTTGGCTCTCTTACCACTGGCGAACCGCCCACCATTCTCGCCCCTGGTAGTGAGGACTGGTGGTTTGACGGCGACAAGACCTCGTATCATCTTTTCAGTGTTGAGAAGGTGTTTGGCATGTCCCGCGCTATGATCGAGCTTGTTGCACGGGTGTCGACCCTTGCTGCGCGCGCGAATAAACACAGGCGGAAGATCCTTGAGCTCCAGATGGAGGACGATCGGTCCCCGCTTGAGCAAGAGGAGTTTGAGCGGCAAGCAATCGAAAGCGAGGCTATGGCGCTGTACGAAGAAGCCAAGACCTGGACGAGTTCTGCACTCAAGCATAGGCTCCACCCGAGGGTCGAGTATGGCAATACGGCCCACCGGCAGGCGATGCAGGTTATCCTCCTCCGGGACGTGCTTAGAGTGGATAGGCTCGATCCCCGCGTACAGGAAGCGGTACAGAGTATATTGAAGATATGTACTGAGAGTGCGAAGCGGCTGGGCATGGGCGTCGAGTGAGTATTTCTCGGCTTTTGGCTAGCACAAGACAAGTCTAACAGGAGCCGTAGCTTGACCTGGCCGATGATCGTGGCTGGGTGTCAGGTGGAGCACTTGGACAGGGACAAGGTCACCAAGACATTCGAGTACTTCCGAGAGCAGTGTTGCTTTGATATCGACACGGCTGAGCAAATCGTCCGGGAGGTGAGCACACCCTATTTGACCACGTCCAACTACTGACGCCGTGTCAGGTCTGGAGGCGACTAGACGCGAACCCGAACGATCCCCGCGCAGACTGGCGGTCAATCACGGAAGACCTGGACCTCAAGGTGCTCCTCCTGTAACATTCATCTATCTCACAACATTCCGTTTTCCCATCTCATTCTCTCCGGTCTCTCGATCTCAAGTGTACGGTCTTGGTGCATCTGTCACCTGCTGGTCTGATTTCCTTTTCCCCACCTCGTAATATCTGTTCTGAACGATGTAATACTATTGACATGAACGAAAAGATAAGATTGGCCGGGCTGGGTTGGGTGGGGTTGGGCTGGGCTCCCTTATGGACGTACATACGGTGGATGTGGATGGGGGCAGGGCCGTGTATATATTTAGTACGGGATCTAGATACGCAATGGACGTGATCTGATGCCACAAGTTGTGCACTTGTACTTTATACCTCCCTATGAGGCGTCAGGAGTAAGTCCGTTGGAGGGGGAGTAGAAGGTGAAGGCTCGAGTCGAGTCGATGTTAAGCTCTAGGTGAAGCTCTAGTAGTAATCGAAGCCCTTTCCGAAGAGATAGCTAGTCTGAGGATGACTTCGAAGCTCGATCCTAGTTCCGAACCTCTAGACGTGCGAGCATGAGACCAACTGAACGATGGCAACTTCTTCCAGACTACCTCTGTGGCAGCCGGAGTATACCGCGCGGCATATTCGAGGGGGAAACCCCCCTTTTACTTCTGCCTAACCCTCCTGTTAAGGAAATTTGGTAATCATCTATCTGCCTTATTTGCCCGCCTCTTTCTGCATATCCATCGCATCTTTGAATCACATGCTGCTAACTTCTTCCAGCCCTCTTTCTCCCAGGAGATCACAGTACTTGTCTGCATACCGTTGCCCAGGGGGTGCGGAGCGGATTGCTATCCTAACTCCATTCCTAATCTATGATTACCTAAGGCCATGTATAGGTCTTGTCGTAGTCCTTTCGAACCTCGTTCAGAGTGTCGTTCGGAGTTCGTTCGAACGTCGAATCCGGCTTCGAAATTAGAATGTGCAGCACACACTCCAGGAAGAGGTGAGACTAGCACCGAGACCGCTTAGCTCTTCTGGGCGTTAGATGAGTTGGCTGCCCCGACTCTGACTATTTATCCACCTGCAATGGAGCAAAAGCATGATCGTACACGCTCCTAGCCTGTACTCAGATACACAGCTCGAACACAGACGACACGAGGGGTCATCTCTCGGTCTCTGCCACATTCCCAGTACTGGAACCCCAAAGCTGGCTCTAGCCACACTTCCAGCATGAGCAAGCACATGCACAAGAGCCATCCACATCCGGATATAGGACTGGCGCGACTTCAATTCTACAGAAATGATGGTATGCGCCAGCTGCAGGTGCTGTACTAGTACTAGTACTGTAAGACGCTACAGTAGGGAGGAGAAAATAAGCGCTGTAACCCGATCCCGATCCTCATCATCTGCATCTTCATCTTCATCTTCATCTGCATCTTCTGTCCCCATCCTCGAGCACTATAGTACAGCTATCGGCCGCCCAACACCCCAAGCAATTCATCGACGATTTCCCACCTCCCCCACCTTCCCTCTCCCCCCTCCTCCTCTTCCTGTTCCTCCCCATCCTCCTCCTCCTCCTCCTCTTCTTCTTCCTCCTCCTCCTCCTCCTCCTCCGCCACCGCCCGCTCCTCCTCCTCCCTAAGTCTCCACCTCTCCACCGCCCCCCTAACCTCACCCTCTCTAACCGCAGCAAGCCACCCCCCCCATTCCCGGAGGTCAACAGCCAGCAAAGACCGGAGTATGGCAAGTTTAGCCAGTCTGTGCCTTTCTGCTGCTGCTGCTGTGTCCCTGGCGGAAGAGGAGGAGAAGTGGGAGTAGGAGTAGGAGTTGGACGGGGGAAGAGGCTCTTGTGTGAGGAGAGCGAGCACTGTTCCGGGAAGGGGGAGAGCGTAAGCTCTCTCCTTCCCCTTCCCCTTCTCACTCCCACTCCCATTCCCTGTCCCCTCTCCCTGCCCCTGCTGCTCCAAACTCTGCACATCCTTCTCCCTCCCCAAAGCTCTAGCTCTCCTCCTCCCAACCGGTTTGACAGGTGACGTGCCTAACAGCCCCGACCCCGACTCGCCCGAAGCCACAGGCCTGGACTTGGGCGAGGTCTGCATGAGGAACAATGCGCTTAGGGCTAGTGTGAGCCTGGGGTAGGCTTCTTCTTCCAGTCCCGGGCTGGGGTCCGGGGAAGGGTCGGGATCCGAAGAGCGGGAAGGGGGAAGGGAAGGGCAAGGCGGGCGGATGGAGGTGAGCAGGTGTTGGACTCCCTGGGGAGGGAGCAGGGGGAGGAGGTAGGCCGTTTGCCGCAGTAGGGCCGAAGGGGATACACGGGGTGGGAAGGGGAGTGTGCACCCTACTAGCTATTTTCCAAGTTTAGGTCAGCAGTCCTGCCTGGAAGAGTTTGTTTTTCAAGTACGTACGAGGGATAGAAGCCTGCTCGCTAGCCGGGGACGGAGGTGTTCGTCCCCTAACGCAGAGGCTAAGGGAGGCTGCCTTGTGCGGGGCAGAGAGCGAGGGCGCAGGAGGTACCGAACGAGCGCAAGCGGTTGTTCGAGGGCGATGACGGGGCCTTTAGGTGGCGCGGGGAGCTGAGCCAGGAGGAGGGGAGAGTAGCCTTCTGCTAGGGATGAGAATGTCTTCTCAGGCCGGAGGGGGGACGTACGAGGGTGAGAGAGAGCGTCGGTTTCGAACACGTCGAGTATCCAGCTCAAGCCCGGGACTGCCCAGTCCGCTACTGCCGGTACGGCTGTATCTATATCTGTATCTGTATCTGGGTCCACTTGTTCTTCGGCCGGAGTGAGAGAGCCGAAGGTAAGGGGCTTCACCCCCCCTGGTCTGAGGAGTTCCCAAATGCTCGTTTTCCTCACACAGGACGCGGCTTCCGCAAACCGGGAATCTTCTTCCCACCCCTCAAGTTCCCGTGTGCGAGCATGAACAATGCTAGGAAATGCGTGCCCGATCGAGAGGGGGTTCGTGAGCCTGAAAGAGTGCAGTAGGGTAAGAGCGGCTGCGGAGTCAGTAGGAGAGGGAAGGGGGACAGGAGGCCGGTGCTTGGAGGGCGAAGGGTGGGGTTTGCATTTGACAATGTGCGGCGGGGGAGGAGGGGGATAGAGAGCGAGGTAGAGGAGTTGCTGGAGGTGGGCGCTGGGGGGTGTGGGGTGTTAGTTGGGTTGGGGGTTGTTAGGTGAGTGAGGGAGGCGTACGAGGTTGGGATATATCGTCCTCGGATATGGTCTAGCGTTGATAGAGCTGCTTGATCTGGTTCATGTCAGGTGATAGTATGAAGGGATGAGGGGAAGAGTGAGAGGGGAGAAGGCGTACAGTGACCTTCTTCGAGACATGTGTCGACTAGTCCTTGCAGTTGGTGCGACATGGGACGGTCGGGTGGGGGGAGAGGGGGCATGGTTGGGTAGTGGGCGGTGGGCGGTGGGCGGTGGGCGGTGGGCGGTGGGCGGTGAGGAGGATGAGAGAGGGAGTCAGGGACACGCGACTGAAATGAAAGGCGCGTCACGCGTCCTGCGTCCTGCTTTTTCACCGGCGAGCTACGTATACGCCATTCTGTACTTTCAGATTGGTATCCCATTCTTATATTCCATTCATTGCAAACCCATACACCCGTATGATAGCCCCACTCCTCTCCCTTGTATCCCACCCTCTGGAAGCCCAAGACTCCCACTCCTCGTCCTCTAGAACGAACTCAGCTCCCAGCTGCTGTCACTTCCAAATACAGTATGTCATCATCCTGCGCCCCTGTCCATGCACATGCACGTGTAAAGGGAAAGGGTGAAACTTGATTGCCCCTCCTGGCACGGGGGGAAGATAGAGCGAGCACTCGGTGCATGTGCGGACAGGCCAGCAAACACAGCAGTAAGCATCTATAATAAGGGACGAAGAACGAAGACTGAAAATTGAAGAATGACGAAGATCTTGCAGTAGATAATAGACACTCCCTCCTCGACCAGGCTGTCCCCCGCCCTCCCCGGGGGCTGGCGTATTTCCAGCTACAAAAGTACATCGATGAATAACTCGAACCTAGCATCGATCGATCAATCGATCAATCGATCATCAGCCATCAGCGGCAACTATCCCTCAGGTAAGCTAGATCCGCCCGCTTAGAGCTGGAGCTTCGGCTTCGGAGCTTCTGCCCCGCGTCCCCCGCTCTATTCCTAGAAAGAACTCTGGAATGTTTCGTACGAGTAATATATATTGGTGCTGGTTGCTGGTTGGTGCTGGGGGATAAGGGCGGCGGGATCAGGCCGGGTTCGATCGTTGTTGTCCCAGGCATGGATGGGATCGGGTACAGCTAGTCATAGCCGGACTAGTACAGACAGAGCCTCCCAGATTACCCTTCACTGCGGATGGCAAGATGTGAAACAAGCCTAAGTAACCGTACGATCATGATTGTCCAGAGTCAAGGGAGACAGAACCCTGGTAACGTTGACGCCCTGACCTGTGTTTGCCGACCTTGCCCTATCCTGCCCTGTGCCCTGCGTGCCGGCCTAGACCTCGGCATTAATCAAGCCAAAATACGTTCCGCTCGGCGCCTATCCTAGCCTGTGAGCAGTCCCGCTCAACCTCAACCTCAACACCCGAACAAGTACAACGAGCTATCGCACTAGAGGTTTAGCGAGGAGGGAACCGCATGCCCCCGGTGGAGGAGTAGATGGGTGTGGCATATTAATATTGGTAGGGTGGGGAGGGGGCGCATGACGAGCTAGCCAGGGTGTTTGACCCGGGGATTCTCCGGTGCGTGAGAAGGGGTTGCGGGGGTGTATTTTGGTATCTCAGTTAATGTGCAGCAGTGCTATATGACTGTTAGTTCTCTTGTAATGCAGGATACTGCTGGTGGATACATAGAAGGACGAGAGCTGGAGATGGCGGGCTACGAGGGGAGGAGGGAGAAGAGAGAAGAGAATGCCGATGGTTGAATGATTAGGATTGCCGAAATGGGATCACCGCCGAGTTGTGCTGCTTCGGCCGGAAAGGGAAAAGGGTCCGATTATGGGGTCACGGGGGTGAATGCTCCCGTTGAAGCGGGGAAACACAGCGGCGGTATGTGTGCACCTAATTCCCCTTCTCCTCGACCCTCTCCTCGACCTACCCTACTCTAGCCTACACTGGACAATGTCAAAACCTCCTGTTAAGAAGATACTCCCTTCTGGTCAACCACCACCTCCTCAACCAATGCAACCACACACAGGAACAGGCACAGGCGTACAGCGCGCAGTCCTCAGAGTGAACCGTACGTCCCATTCCCCCACCCTTTAGCCCAACTACATCATCCCATCCCAGGCGCATGCACCTCCTGCCGCAAGCACAAAATGCGCTGCGAAGGTGCCGATCACCCTCCTTGCGCACGATGTCGTTCTTCAGGCATCGAATGCGTATTCGAGAGTATCAAGAAGGAACATGCGCTGGATTCGGTCGCTGTGGAGAGGTTGGGTGCCCTGGAGAGGGAGTTTAGGAGTATGCAGGGGACGATGAGGGAGATCTTGGGGGCTATTAGAGGACAGGGGCAGGGGGGGAACGCGAACGGGAATGGGAATGGGAATCTTGGTGGGGCAGGGAGTGCGGGGAACGGGACTGGGAGTTCCCCACCCCAGCTCTCGCACGCAGCGAGTAGCAACTCCAACCCTTCCCCCGCAGCAGGCACGGAGCTAGCAGCGCACCTCTCACCCATCTACACACATACGCCTTCCCCGCCTCACTCCCACAGTCAGGGGATGACCAACCACCACCCGCACTCGCACACGCACTCCCACCTCTCGCAATCCCATCACCCGCTTCCCCAAGCCCAGGGACACCATCCTCACCCCCATGCCCACCCACACACGGCGTTCCAAGTCCACAGCCCGTCATTCCTCAACGGAGGGTCGCACGTCTCACCCTCCTCTGCGCACTCAGTCTCCCACTCGGGGAGTACGATCAACACACACGCGCATCATCCCCCGCTGGTGCACAACTTCCTCCCTTCACCGGACATTGCTGACCTGCACTCGGCGCATGCGCACTCGCATGCTCATGCTCATGCCCATGCCCGCTCGCCTGGTCGCAGAAGGACAGGGGACCAGTTTAAGAGTATCCCTACGAGTGCGGCGACGAGTGATGACGAGGGGGAGTTGCCGGGTAAGGCTTTCTTAGCGCCTATTGAGGTGCTTTCAGGTGCGTCAGGATTACCCATTTGCGTTCTTTTGCATGGCATTGTATTACAACTGGTACTGGTTCGTTTCCCCCAACACCTGCTAACTCGTTCCAGATCTAGCGACAGCTGCTGCTGCCCAAGCGGGGAACCCTTCGCCAGAAGAATCAGGCCCAAACCCGAAGAAAAGGAAGCTGAACGACGGGAGGCCTCTTCCCGGCGGGGAGGACGGCAGCGTAGAAGGGTGGGACGGGGGCAGGGACAGGGGGAGAGGGGGGGAGAGTGAGCGGGGGAGGGAGAGGGAGAGGGAGAGGAGAGAGGGAAGGGACGTGGTCGATAAGGGGATCGTGACTGAGGAAGAGGCACGAGAGTTGTATCGCATGTGCGTCCCCCCCCTTCCCCTGCCCACCGAACCCAACCCGGCTAACCCCCGCACGCGCAGATACTTCTCCGGCTGCTACCGGTTTCTCGCAGTCTTCAACCCCGAAATAGACACATTCCCCTCCCTGCGCCAACGTTCTCCCTTCGTCCTCTGCTCCATACTCATGGTCGCCTCCCGCGTGCGGGACGGGGGTTCCCCCCCAAGCAGGGTACATACGGAGTTGTTCCAGGAAGCGAGTAACCTTGCTCGCGATACGCTGTTTTCTCAGCCGCAGGGGGTCGAGTGTGTACAGGCTATGCTTTTGCTCGCGGGGTGGAGTAGTAAGACTGGCTGGTTGGCGGCGGGGCATGGGATTCGTATGGTGAGCACTTTCACTTACCACTTCCTCCTTTCCTTCCTCTCCTCTCCTCCCCTCCCCTCTCTCCTTGGCACTCCTCTCCCCGCAGGCAGTCCGAGAACAACCCCGCTAACGCCTCCCAGGGCATGGAAATCGGGATGCACAAAGCCCTCCCGCGCCTCGCAGCCAAGATGCGTTCCGGCAGACACGACCCTTCCCCAGACCCCAAGACGTCCCTCGACGCAGCGCTCGTCTCCCAAGCGCGGACCTGGCTAGGTCTGTTCGTCTTCGAGCTCCAAATCGGAAGAGGCACGGGAAGACCAGCGATGATCCGTGGTGATAAGAGTATTTCGGATGCGAGAGTGCTTCTTACCCACCCGTGTGGGATCCTTACCGACGCGAGGCTGGTAAGCACTTGCGAGTTACTGGTTATCCAAGGTTCGCCTCGTCTCTCTTCCAACTGCGTGATTGATTGATTTTTGACTGGGGTTACAGCCCGGATCCACGAGATGCTCGACGAGGAGCGAGACTATGACAAAGTCGTCACTATCCTGCGCGAAGGCGAGCGGGAAATCGACGACTGGCACACAGAATGGGACTTTATCATGTCAGAAAAACACCCCGACGCGGCAGGCTTCTTCCGGTCCTCGGCACAGATCCAGCGGATGTACGCAGTGCTGTTCATGCATTCTGTGGCCTTGCGAGAACTGCGCACTGTCCTGGATGCGAAGGAACATCCGCAGATGCATGAGGTTATGATGACTGCGGTGCATAATGCTAGAGGATGTATCGAGATCTGCCTCGAGGCGCCAGAGTATAGAGAAGGGCTGCGCTACGGTACGCTCCCAGAGCTCTAAGTAGATGACCTGCTGGCTGACCGACAGTAGCGGTCACGTACACACATACGAGCGCAGCGTTCGCAGCTGCCTTCCTGCTCAGGTTCGCTAGGCTCTTTCCTCATGAAGTCGATATTGAGGACTCGATCCGGATGGTCGAGAGCCTCATTCGGTTATTTTCCGAGAGTGAGCCTATTCCCCTGAACCAAACCTCCAGCAGCTTATCCCTCATCCATGCATTCCTAGTCCCTGCAGCGCGCTTCGTCTCCCCCCTCCGGCAGATGGTCGAATACACGCACAAGCGCTGGGAAGAGCTCAAATCCGGTATCGACCTCCCCTCCTCCCTGCGTATCGCCCCCACCCCACCTTCGCACTTCACGAACGATTTCCAGAGTATAATGAACCCTCCCCCGCCCCCTCCCCCGTCTGCCGCACCCGCCTCCGCCCCCGTGTTCGACGCGGGGATGTCTATGTTCCCTGTGGACCCGAATAGCAGTACGATGGAGTGGGCTGCGGCTGTAAACATGCTTGATGGGTTTGGCTTGCCCCCTAGTATGTCGACGAATGGCGGCTCACTGGGCTGGTTGCCCAATTCCGTATGTCCCTCCTTTGGACTGATTTTGTCGTACTAGTACTGACCTGTGGCAGATCCTGGGCGATCTGGCTGTCCCGCCATCGGCGACGGAAGCCGATGGGAACTTGCGAGATTGGAATCTACAATTCGCTTTTGATGTATAACCTAACAAGGCGTCCTGCCGGTGTACAGGACCCAACACATCCAACTGGCCACAAGGAGTCTCTTCTGTCTTCATTTTCCCCTGATGTATGTTCTTCTATCTCTGTTAAAACTGTGCTCTCTTGGATAGACGCCAAATGTGTCGGAAATTTTTCGATGTACTACTAATAGGCAAATGACAAATGCTACAGATGGAAAGGACAACAACAGCGTTCACATCGTGCATAGTTGCGGGCATAGCATAGTGTGGAAAGGCAGTAGAGTGCGTATCCTATCGGACGGTGCAGTTTTCGAGCATGTTATGACGACATGGCAGAAGCCTCGCCAGACGCACCGGTGCCGTTCGGGCCACCACGGCCACGGTTGCCTATCAAACACTTAGCCGGAATGATCATCAACAGGGCTGAGAGACTCACCACCCCTACCCTTACCACGGTACTCGCCGTTCCTCTCACCAGGCGGTCCACCCCGGCCCCTAGATCCCTCACTACGGCCCCTCCACTCCCCGCCTCTGCCCCTACCCTCGCCCCTGCCCCTGCCTTCACCACCTCTCTGGCCCCTGGGCCCACCAGCGCTGCCAGGTCCACCCCACGGAGCACGCTTGATAGGCACTGTAGACCAGCCCTCTTCGTCCACCACGGGGGCAGCATGGCTGTTTTCTTTGGGCAGTCCGGCGCTGGTAGGCGTGTAAGGGCCGGGGGAAGTGCCGTTCATCCCACCACGGCCACCGCGATGACCTCCACGTCCACCTCGACCGTTCCCACGGCCACGGAAACCGCGTTCTCCCTCGGCGCCTCCGCGACCACGAGGGCCCCAAGCGCGTCCTCCCCTCCCGCCAGGGGCAGGGCCGAGAGAAGCCTCCGCCTCGATCGGGGTGGCATCGGCGAAGGCTGGAACTTCGATCGTTATGACTGGCACGCCGGTCTCGGGCGTATGGGCGCCAGTGGAGCCGAGGGCGGCGTGCAGCTCCCCGAGGTCGGGGAGGTCGCCGTCGTCCCCGTGTGTGGCCCAGTCGATGGGGCCGGCGCTGGTGGGAACAGCCACAGCCTGGAACGCGATGTCAGCATACCCACAACACGATGGCTCGCAAGGAGGAAGACGTACCTCCATAGCTTCCTGGATAGCCTCCTGGACGATGGCTGCCTCCACGGCCTGCTCAACAGCCTGCTCGATAGCTTCCTCCACAGCCTGTTCCTCCATCGCCTCGCGCGCCTCTTCTTCTGCCTCAGCCTCGACTGCCTGAGCAACGGCTTCGTAAAGCGCCTCAGTGTCAGCAGCGGACGGGCCCTGCTGGTACACCCCGTTGACGGCAGGCTCAAGCTCGTCAGGGTTCATGAACATGAACCCTTGCGGCGCGGGGACGGGAGCGTAGAGGGCCTGCTGGTCCTCAGCAGAGGCCAGGGCTTCCTCAATCGCTTCGTCCGCGATGGCGTCTGCGATAGCCTGCTCGACGATGGAGTGCGCGACGGCGGCTTCGTAGGCGGCTTGGGGATCTTCGGTGGGAGGAGCGGGGTTGACGTACGAGGAGATGATGTCGCGCAGGCGGAGGTCTAAGCAAAAAGCATGAGCATCCGACGGGGAATACAGAAGTCGCAGTCATGGAGAAAAACGTACATTCGACGCCTTCGACCTCCCCTTCACCGCCCATCAATCCCCTCATAACATCCTCGCCCTCTTCGCTCATGAGCCGGCCCTGCGCAGCCTGAATAGCCGCCAGCTCCTGCTCGCCTACGCCCAGCCCAGGTAGGGAAACAACGCCCTGCATGACTTCCTGATAGAAGCGCTGGAAGAGGAGTACGAGCTTGAAAGACTCGGCTTGTGCGGCTTGGGCCGCCTCCACAGCGGAGGAGACCGCGGCAGCGGAGGCGGCGGTATCCAACTGGTTCTTGATGTCACGCGTGACGGTTTGGTCGATCTCGATGAGCTGGGGTGGGTTAGCATATGCACCCAAAATATGGTGAGCAAGTACGAACCTCGAGCCCCTTGCGGACTTCCTCAAGTTCCTTCATTGCTCCTTGCAGACCGGGCAACGAGTCCACAGCGTTCTTCTGGTCCTCGTTGAGCTCTTTACGCGGCTTGTGCGCATAAGTCAACACGCGGTCCTATGTGTGAGTCATCAGTACCTGCTCATACCACACGAGCACAACAGCACACAAAGAGATGAAAATGAGAAAGAAAAAAACGCACGATCTTCTTCCTCAGCGTGCGGATCCTCTTGTTCACAAACTCCACAGTGGCAAACTTCGGGCCCTCAGGCTGCGTAGCAGCTCCATCCCGGTCGATCGCCTCTCCCAGTTCGCCTTTCCCAGCCACGAGCGCCGGGTCGACCTTCTCCTTCTCAGGCACATGATCAAGCAACGCCGTGTCCTTAGAATCCAGTACTCCGTTGCCGTGAGTGGTTGGCTCCTCAGCAGCCTTTTTCGCGGCCTTTTTCGCTTTCTTCTGCTGGTTACGGGAGAGGGTGCTCTCCGTGCCCGAGGGCGCGGGGCCGGCAGCAGCCTCTTGTGGTATCTCGGCGGTGGCAGCGGTAGCCGAGGGTTCCGCCATATCTGCTCCAATGGATCAGTAAGGATTTTTTGTCAGTTTGTGCACGTTGCCCAGCGCTAAAAAGACGTACTTTGTTATCCTTGAGTTTTGATGATTGTAATCTGACTAAGTTGTGTTATGATTGCTGTTGTTGTCCACCAGGCTTTATTGGAGAAATGTGGTGGACAGAGATAAGAGAAAGTTGTTGGATGTTGATGGTGTGGAGAGAGGATTGACGGCTGTTGAGGAGAAGAAGAGCCACACGAGCAAATTCCTGCGGAGGAAAAAATCGGGCACGCGCACGGATCAATGGGGAAAAAAGGACACAGCGCCAGCACGGACGAAATGTTTGTCCCCAATCGAAATAAACTTGTATTTACTTTGATGGAAATAAAAATAGTATCATTCGGTGGATTTTCTGTGCTATGTTAGTTGGAAAAAAAGGCAGAAATGGACTACAACAACATTCATTCTTACATACTGTAGTAGTCATACACGAAAATCCCATACAATATCAGTCATACATGCCAGTCATTCCAAGTTCATGAGCAAACATTCACAGTAACTTAGTGACCACTCCCAAGCCCTTCGTCTTCCCCTCCCTAAAAAGGAGCTTCATGCCCACCTTGAGAAACTCAGGCCCGACGACAAATTCGAACACCACCGTTGCTCTGTCTCCTGTCCGGAGCAGGCCCTGCGGATGGTCGATACTCACTATTCGCACCGTTTGCCGTACGGCACCGCAGTGCAGCATCGCTTGGTAGTTCCGCTGCATAGTGGTGTTGTGGTAAAGGATAAGGACTTGGCCTTCGAACCGCCTCACAGCTATTTTCATCAGCTCATCAGCTCAGTTCCTGCTCGGACTAGGTAAAGGCTTACCATGCGGCGGAGGTCCATCCGTCTTCGCAACGATGACCATGCCTTTCCTCACAGCTCCTCTCCTCACTCTCTTCAGAGCGAAGCTCACGCTCTGCCCAGCCTCAGCCGTGTCCACCGTAGCCCGTTTCCGCTGGATACTCTTCACAGTCACGTTCCCGAAGGCGCCGTGTCCGTCCGGTCCTAGGAGTACTGTGTCCCCCGCATGGATAGAACCGGAGTTGATAGTCCCGTTCACGACGGTGCCGACGTAGGGTACTGACCAGAGTTCGGTGATTGCGTACTGCAGGAGGTCAGTGAAGCACTGTACAGTGGAGTGGGACAAACCTCGAATGGCGCATCGAGGAGGTACTTCTCCTCGTCCCCCATGCTAGAAGGGATGAGATTGATGAACGTCCTCAGGAGATCCAGCCCCTGGCCGGAGACGTTCGAGATGAGGAATATCGGGCATATCCTGTTCCTCGTCAGCTTCGTCCATGGAGTGCAGAAGTCAGCGCACCGGTCCTTGATAAACGACTGGCTGATCTCCACTGCCGCCTCCCTGATCCTGACGAACACGGGTGTTTTCCTGCACCCGGGGCTCTTGAGGATCTTCACTACGCTCTTGACCGTGCTCTCGAGCACATTAGCCGGAGTCATGTCAATCTTCGTTATGGCAATAACGACCGGCACGCTGAGGGCAAGGGCGATCGCCAGGTGCTCCTTGCTCATCCCTATCAGCCCAGCGTTCGCTCCGACCATAAGCATGACACAGTCCGCGTTCTGGCTGGTCATCCCGTACAGCGTCGTCTTGAGGTACTTCTCATGTCCGGCCAGGTCGATAAAGGACACGATCTTGGCAGACTTGCGGATGATGTCGTCCCACCCTAGTTTTTCGCGTTTGGCAGCGGAGGAAGCGGCGGTCTCCATCCCCGCAGAGGGGAAGACAGGCTCGCCAGAGGCAGAGAACCCAAGGATCTAGGCTGTGTGAGTAGCTGCGAGTCAGAGATGAAGGAAAGACGGACCTCCATCCCTACTGAACTAGTTCGTCCACTCTCGATCTCGTGCTTATGCCTGAAGAGCGCCACACGCGCCTTCCCCCTCCCGTCATCCAAGAATCCCCGAGTGAGCACACCAAGAGTAGTCGACTTGCCCGAATCGACATTCCCTACGCAAGCGACGCGCAGCTCAGGGATACGCTCGAGCGTGGCGGAAGGAAGGCGGAGGAGGAGGTACGCGCTAGTAGGCGACGAGGAGAGGGTAGCCATCTGCTCGTCCGTGAGGGACGATCACTAACAGCTCATAAGCCCGCAACGTACAGTCGCCCCGAGCTCCTCGACCGCCGCTCCAAGCAAAACGGTGCATCTTCGAAGCTCGTCCTCACCCAGAGCATCCCCAACACGTGGGGCGTCCTCTCCTCCCTCAGGTGCGTCAGGCGTCGCGTCCTCCCTGTGTGTCCTATGCGCTCCTAATCGGACAACGAGCTCCGACCGCTGCAGCAGCGTAGGCTGTATAGCAGCGACAACCGGAGCAAGGTTCCCCGCTAAAAGTAATGTCTTCCCATCCATCAGTCCAACCAGCGTCCGATGCTCCTGAAGCACATACCTGTAGATCAGCCGTGTCGTTCTGTATTCGATCGCCCTCATCAGGATGCAACTTCGCCCTCTCCTGTGCGATAATCTTCCCTCGTTGTGCATCGACCTCGGTAATAAACGCTCTAAGAGAAGTCATATTCGCATCTGTGCTTTTGCAGTAACAGTGTTGCGGTCAGAGCGATAGGGTGAATTGGACAGGGTGAAGGGTTCGCGCGCTTGAACCCCTTTTGTACGGTATGATTGGATGAGAATGCCTGACTCGAATTTGCGTCAGTCTCTCAGCAGTGTTGCTAGGAACGCCTCCTTGCCTGGGTGGAACTATATACTATGACTAGGTGTGGATGACTCGATATGCACAAGGGATTGAAGTTGAAGAAATGTTTGTTGTTCTACTCAGTCCTTGCGTGAGATGACTCGTTCGGAGAAGACTCTATTACGGATCAACGTGCATTACACACAGCCACCCCCGGCCGTCTTTATTTTCCCCTTCTCAAAATCAACGCGAACAAAGTCACATAAACACATTAACCATTAATATCCTTCAGATCATATCATGATCCCACCCAGCACATCACACAGACATAGGCCTAAACAGTCTTTCCCTCTCGTCATCCCTCTCCCCCACCCGGCCCCTATCTCCCACTCCCCCATCAGGCATCACCCGGCTATCCCTCCCCACCCTCAACTTCCGCACGTCCACTAGCCTGGGACTCTTATGCGTAAACCCCGCGAACGCATACGCCTTCCTAATCCCCAGCGCGGCGGGCCCGTGGACCGCATCTCGTAAAATAGGATCGGGGGCATCGGCCGCCCTGCCGTGCAGAGGGGGAAGAACCTAGACATGCAACAAACATGAGCTTTCTGTTCCTGTGACGACGATTGTGCTCGGCCTAGGTTCAACCCGAGGGCAAAAGGACAATATTTTTCGCTACTCGGTTCCCCGCACGTCCGGGCCGGGGCCCGTAAGCACCTGTGAACAGGCGAAAAGGCCCTCCCGAACAAGGGCAAGAGAGTGAGAAAAAAGGGAAGGAAGGGTCCCGTACCTCCGGCTCAATATCCTGCTCGAAATGCCGCGTGTCTTCTGCACTTGAGAGCGTGGGAGTGTAAGGCGCTGGCCGATCGCGTAGGCGCTTAAAGTCGATTCCCCTGAACCAAGGATGGGCCTGCGATTTGCGACAAGGTTTTCAGTACTGCGTGACTCACACAAAAATAGGCATGATGACACAAGTGCCACGGCGGCCCCTAACCCAAGAGGGAAGGTGTATGGTGCTGGAAATAACAATGAACGCACCTTGATTTTTCCTGCTCCATCAAACGTTCCCAGCACCGGCTGCGCAGCAAAGTTACTCCCACCTCTTCGGTAGTATCCTTCTCCTCTCCCCTGCGATCCCGAGGTCAGTCTTGAGCCCCGCGTGCGGAAGGTCTCAGCGATCACTCCTCCTCCCCCAAGGCGGTCCTCGGGTTCACAGATGAGCCGTTGGATGAGGTCGATCGCCTCGCTTGATACGCGGGGCCGGGCTGGGAACCGGAGTGTCTGTTTCCAGTTGAGGATCTTTTGCCGAGTTGTGTGCCGCTGTTGTGAGAGGACGTCCATGCGATGATAGACATCAATGTCAGTCCAGCCACGCGATGCATCTGTCTGTTACCTTACCGAGCGACTGATGAACGGGGGATATCCGAATCTGCAACCCCAGTCAGCAAGGGTTGCAGTACATCGCAGTGCTCAGCATCTGGAAATGGAATCTTACAGGCACTCGTACATGATCACGCCGAGACTCCAATAATCACACGAGTATCCATATCCCTGGCCTGTCAGACCCAAATCCCAGTCAGAACTGATGGCAGGGATGATGTCATGACGCTGATCACCTCGAATAACTTCCGGGGACACTTCGGGCAATTCCGTTAATCAAGGGAAGTGGAGAAGGAATGTTGCCCAACATACTATATGAATTCGTTCCGCATCTGCGTGGCATGCGTGAATACGCGCGCGTCGGGATTAGAACTTTGCTTGCTCACATGGAGTACGCCAGCTGTGAATCAAGTTCCAATATCCAGTCGGTTCCGCGGTGAGCTGTCGTCCACATGCAACATAGTACAATAAGGACCGCACCTTCTTTCGATTTCTTTCTCGCCATGTGAAGATGCCTTCGCGGCCCTGCTCGCCGCCCATAATGTTCTCCACCTGCTTCGGGTCGAGGCGTCGGGACGGCACGCTGTCATCAAAATCGTTCCTGTCCGCGAGGTCGATGCCGTACTTCCTTAAAAGGCTCTTGCGCTGTTGCTCGTAATCTTCCGGAAGAACACGTGTATGTTGTGAGCCCAACCCCAGCTTCTTTTCCGCTTTTTGAACTAAATACATACAGGAGGTCTCATGCGCCCAGTGTAGGTCCGTGCTGATAAGCAGTGTCAGCAGATAGTTTCCAGAACACTCGGATCATATTACTGACGCTAATCCAAAGTCGCTCAGCTTCAAGTGGCCCTCTCTGTCAAAAAGGAAATTCTGAATAATTAGTCAGTCTCTGCCGTAATAACCGATGAGTCTTTTTACGTCTGGCTTGATGTCACGATGGATGAAGCCGTGCTTGTGACATTGTTCGATGCACAGAATCATCTTTCGAAAGGACTGCTCAGGTCAGAGCTCTTCGGGCATTTAGTCACCCACCTCGGCCACATAGAATTTAGTAAAACCTTCCTCCATAATATCTCGCTCAATTAACAAGTTTAGCAGGTCACCGCCTGCCATAAACTCCAGAACGAGATAGAGGGAATCCTGATCTTGGAAACTGATAGATATTAGCTCCCGCAATTTAATACCATGTTGTAACTAATGACACCTGCCTGTAAAACAACCGCACGATCCCATCTGTGCCGCGGCTGGAGCCAGCCAGCGCAGCGGCTTTGAGCACTTCCCGTTCCGCGCGCACGTGCCCCTCTTGCCCTTTCCGGAGCATATCTGTCTTGCGCATCTAAACAGTGGAGAAGAATCAGAATCGCTTAATTCGCTTACAAGATTGGACCGTGCCTGTTTCATCGCGTAGAGCTCGCCTGTGCGCTTCTCTCTAACGAGGTAGACAACACCGAAGGCACCTGAGTACGTCCATTCGTCGTCATGCAACGAACCGCATGTGATCAGCGATCCTCCACTATGATCAACAAGATGCCACACAGAACGTACCATGACCTATTGTCTTGAGCCTGATGAAACCCGAAACATCAATCTTACGTCGACGTTCGCGCAGGTAGTCTGTTTCATTCTTGCGCCAACGTTCGCGCAACCCCTCTTTGTGCGCTTCGTCGATGCGCAGAATGTCCAGGTCTTTCTCGAATGCCACCCGTCTTTGTTCGCGCGAAGGGGGCTGCCGTAATAGAGGAAAGTAGAGATTCTCGAAGTATATGCGTGCGGACACAGCCTTCTCCAGGGTTATCAGCGAGGGGACAATGGGTCTCGACTTGGTTCTTGGCCTGAACCCTTCTCGCAGTGTGGGAATGTTCCCCTCGTCCGTGCGCGCTAGGGTGAACATAGCGGCCGCGCGGTCCTCTGCAGTGTGCGGCAGGCCATCAATCGCGTTTCTCGAGCGCCACACGTCCTTTTGCGGTACTGGGGGTACAGACCCAGTCGTGCTGGTGATCAGCGAGCTGCCCCCATTAACCACACGGAGCGGCGGGTGCGACGCCCCAGGTATCACATCGGTGCGCATGTTGCTGACGACCTCGGCGATTGCTCTTTCCTGCATCTTCGCTCGCACTACTTGCTTGATGGGCGCTGCCCAGGATGGGTCTGATGGGATAGAACAGGAAATCAATGCATCTTGTTGTCAATATCGTCAATAAGGGATTGGTTCGCCGTACCTCCGATCTTGCCCTGGCCATCAGGACCCCACCGTTTGAGCAACACCTCGGCTTGAACGATGTCTGATGCGTGTACAAGATGCGCAAATCCGATGGGCGAGGATATCATATCTTTGCTCACCCTTTTTCCCTCGTCCCGGACCCAATCAGCGATCTGGACATAGCCCGTATTTTTTGTCCTTTTCGTGACCAGGGTATTGCCGAGCACAGGCGCCGCTCTTGATGCACCCACACTGGGATCGTCCGACGTTCTCCAAAGCCATGCTGCCCTGGGTGTCGGTATGATACCCAGCAAATCATAGTAGCCCTTGTGCAGCAACGTTCCACCTGGCAGTACGGTCGAATAACCTCCTTGGTAGTCCATGGGAATAGGAGCATAGCCTGCTGAGAGCACAGGCGCGTCGTAGAATATTGGGCGAGATTGGAAGTCGTTGGAGCGTGAGTATACGTTGGGAGATGGGAACACAGGTCTAGCCATTGATGCGTGGAGCAGAAGTAGCCAGATATTGAGCGCGAGAGAGTACACGCTAGAGAGCGATGTTGTACAGCAGAGAAAGAGAAAGAGTTCAAGTTCGAATGCGCTGCTGTGTGAAACATGTTATTATTGTCGTGACTGTTATTAGTGATCATCCTAGGAGTATCCTGTGGTGAAAGGAGTAGGAGAAACTCCTAACCCCTAGAAAGAGAAGCAAGTGAAAAGCAGTCGGATTAACAATGAGAGCGTACGTCAGTCGGTGACCATGTCAGGGGTTTGAAGGCTAAATAGAATAGAGCGGCAAGGGCCGGGACGTGTGGGGACGATGAAAGGGTTCTTACAGAGTCCGTTATCTTCCCGTCCTATGAATTATTGTTCAATTTTGATTTTGAACCCGGCGGTTATCTCACCACCTCCCCCTCTCTCTCTTGCTTCCTTTTGCGGGTATTCAACCACGTGGATAGCGCAATACAGCATCACATTCTCTCATTGTGGCGCTCTCTTTAAACAATAAGCATACACGCGCTGTGCTTGTTATATTATCGACAAAAGGGCTAATAAGTATCATGACAGATAGCGCTAGCGGAGGCATATCGGGACTCTTCTTGCGCACTTATCCTGAACCCTGACAGTTGCCGCCCCTGCGTCTACTGATATCAACCGTACCCAAAAGGCCGACGCTTCGACATCAAGAACCATCATCGCATCTCTCTCTCTTTCTCCCTCCCCCCATCATTGCCTTCTCACCCGCTTCCTCTCCTTCATTCCGATCACAGGCTGCGCATATCCAATTACGGTTATTGCAGCGACCAACTCCCGGTAATTCTCGACTGCACCACACTCTTGGGTCTCAGGCCATCTCGCGTCCGCGTTTGATCGATATCTACTCGTGCGGGACACATCCTTCTGTCCCGCTACTTGACCCCGTCAAAAATCCTGGTCAAGCAGCTTGATTCGTCCATTGTAGGCTTTGTGCTTCGTTAATTTGTCACTCTCCCCGTACATTCGGGAATCTCCTGCTGCTTCTGGGAAGATATTCCCCGCGGAGATCAGAGGCGATAATTAACAAGTGCCTGGCAGTGCTCTCCATCGGCTTATCGGTGGTATTTTCTTCATTTTCTCACGAAGGACCCCGGGAGTCTGGTCCCGCGCTGTATGTTGCGCTCTGTCTCTGAGCGCCATCATCAACATCACGCGACCTTGTCTTCGCATCAGCATCAGCATCAGAAGAACAAAGGTTCGACCGTTATTGACTACTCCTCTTGCTTCATTTCGTCACCTGCTGTCCATATCACCACCCGCGTTCATGAATCTCGGCTTTATCACCGCTTCCTCCTCGATACTACACCCATTTGGCATACACTGACTCGGCGCGTCCCCCGTTGCCCAGCCCTCATCGCCATTTGACCTCACAACGAATTTTCCTTACTTGCCTGCCTCTGGTGAATTTCATTCATCTTGTGCCGATTGCGCCGTCCCAGGACCTTTCCATCGTTTCTGTTTGTAATGCCACGGATCTTGACGGCGGTGCTATTGTGCCAGGAATTATTCTCGACCATCAAACTTTGACAAGCACCCAATCGTATAAATTCCCACCGCACTTCGACCTGACGCCTGTCCACACCCTTACCACGAGGCGACTCTCCCTCCCGTACTCGCCTTCCTCGTCCAATTCAAGGTCAGAGGGTCCCTCGCCCATGCCTGCAAAGGACAAACCCGGGGAAGCCAATCACGACTCGCCGCTTGCCAACCCTGGTCCCGGCCCCATCACGGCGAACCGAGGGAACCCATCGACTTCACCAATCATCACTAATTATCCTAGGCTTCCGCAATCTCAGGCGCGATCCCCGGACAGACTTCCTTCAGATCGCAATAGGCCTACAGTACAAATAACCCACGAACGACACTCAATGGAAGGCCCCAGCCCTCTGCCAAGGTTGCCTCTCGACATGGACAGTAGCCTCTCCCATGTGCGTTCCCGCCAGACTGTTGATCGATATACAAACCCGACTGTCTCCAACTCCCGTACGTTGGGTCCATCCAGTCAAAGTGAATGTTCGAGGATATTCACAACTTCCCCAGAGAATAGATTAGATCCTGCGCCGCGTAGTGCCTATTCCAGTCATACTGCTCCATATACGGCCCACGGTGAGTCATCTACTGTGTCCCTTGCGTAAGCTTAAAGTCATTCTGTAGATAGCAGTTATCCAGGTCCGCCATCTAGTCACGGCCATCAAAATAGCTCATCGTCTTATCACGACACCTATTCGAGCCATTCACATCATCCTCCGATGCCTCACTCGCTCCACCCTTCAACTGCTTCCCACGGGAGTGCTTGTCCCCAGCCGCCTCGTTCGGGAGGTAGTAGCCACCCGAGTAGTTCGCCCAACCAAACGAACCGCTCTCCTTCCCTTCGTGAAGGTAACCATTTCTCTGATAGTCCTAACACACCTGCGGGCTATCAGCTCCCTAGTCCCGCTGTGACATCATCCACTTCGGGGAATGGGAGCAGCCCTAACCGCCTACCTGACGCCATCGGCGGACGTCTCTTCACGAGCTTGACTCTGCCTATTCCCGTACCCAGGGGTTCTGTTGGGCCTCCCAGCGACTCTGGACAGCCCTCGGCCGGTTCTACGGGGGGACACAGCAGTGTCAGCTTATCACCAGAATTTGATCGGCACAGCTCGTCTGGCGAAGAACAGCTCTATGGGACTGCCATGGCAAATGTCCAGTACAGAGATGCCCTTCTGCCGGATGTGGTCGATGCCTACGGGCAAGACGCTGGCGAGCTTAGAGCAAGACGTCATCGGACTACTCCGTAAGCAGTCTTTGACGGGGTGTCTGGGGCACTGACCGACTCTGACTTAGTCGCCAATTCCAAGCCCTGACGCAGGTGTACAATCGTACTGCTTTCCCATCTACTCAAGAGCGCCTGCAGCTGGCAGAACGCTTGGGCATGCAACCGCGTCAAGTTCAAATTTGGTATGTTCTGCCCTTTGTGCTGGGTCTATGATAAGCCTAATACATGAATAGGTTCCAAAACCGTCGTCAGCAGGACAAGAATCGCGTGAGTCGCGGGGTGCCTAACCCTCCCATGATGCACCGGAATGTCGGTCGTCCCCGAGTGGAACGGATCCCACACGAAGGAGGACCAGAACAGACAAGAGATTGGGTATTGCGAGAGGCGAGAGAACGAGGTCCGGAATTCCCCAACCATTATACCGGTTACGGACCCCCTCCTTCTGAGTATGAATCGCCCCATTCTGGGTATGCGCCGCCACCCGTATCTCAGTCTCATGGACGTGGTCCTCCGCCTCCCTCTCCTCGCGAGTACGGCGCGCCACACTATCGGCACGAGGGTCCCCCTCCTGGCGCTTATCCCGCGACGTCGTCTAGCTCTGGACGATATGGGGACTCTGCGGGCGATTATCCCCAACCCCCAAATCCTGGTCGATATGGCCCCCCTCCTCCGCGGGAGTATCGCCCCGATTACAGTCCTCAGCCGCCCCGCAGCGGTGGTTCGTATTCCGGAGGACATCGCGAGCCAGATATGTACGGACGTTACGTCAATGAAGAACCGAGACGTGACGAAAATGGAAACGGTGGCCGATAACTTACGAGCGCGTTTCCTCGAGCGACTGAATCATTTGTGTTATTATGTACGGTATGCTTCCTTTTGACCGTAATGCTCTGCTGTACAGTAGGGCACGCTGTATTCTATCCACTGCCCTTCTGGAGTAGGACAATATCACCACTGCCAGGTGTCGTCTTCTGTTTATGTATTCCTGTTTAAAGGTTGTTGTTCTTGATGTTCGCGGTGTATCTCAAAGTGTTTTGTTGCTACCGATGTATCGTCTAGCTGCGCACCGCTACCTACCCCACCACTGTAGAAAGATATCCTTTTGACAGGGCTGTCATAATGATAAGTTTGTGTTTCACATCGACTGTCAATGGAGGCACCTTCAGGGTGAATGTTGCATGTGCGTCAATTCAGACCACAATTGGGGGTGCTGTGATTTATCGGAAGTATCCGAGTGTCTGGGCGTTTCACTTGTCTGTCTTCTCTATCAAGATCAGCTCAATCTCTATGCTTCGATATTAAGCGGCCGCTGTCAGAAGGTCCGGCTTATTCTACCACCGGCACAGCCCCTCATTGGTAACTCCTTTTGAGTTCTGTGACCCCGCATTCTGGTAGAACATGTCACCTCGGACGGTCAGAAAAAGTGCCGAAGATTGAACCACACGCCCGGTCGGGAGAGAACATCTTAACAATGCGGAGAATGCATCATGCCGCACCGCAGTCATGCGACTGGAAGACGCGATAAGCCCCAACTTTGCAGAATTCACATTGGGTCTCGGGTTTGTACATGTATAATCAGAATGGCGGCATGAAAGGGATTGGACAGCGCGACCGCGTCAACCACGTCTTCTACATACAGCAGATGGGAGTCTGATACTTCGATGGCGGCGACGCCATTGACATGTGCGAGGGGGAGGCCCTGAGCCCGATACGGCGGCGGACCATACGGACCGCCAGCCGATTGTGCTGCGGGATGAGCCCAAGATGAATTAATCGCATGTTTGCATTTTGAGTGGCTCGGTCGTATCCGGGGTCTTTTAGCGGCCCAAATGTGGGTAAACTCCGAACGGAAGATGAAGAAGTTGACGAAAGACGAGCCGAGAAAGACACAAAGGCACAAATGATGGCCGCTGGGCTGGAAACCGAAGAGAAGAGATTATTCCTGTCGCGATGTGACGAAGGTTTTGGCTCAATGGAGATCATCGGTGATAGGAGATGATGCGGGCGTTCCGGCATACGATAATGAGGCTTCTGGAAGATCAAGGGCAAACCCTACTTCGTACTCAGTCCCCGCACCTCTTACGGAAGAGGCCCGTCTACGATGCTTTACCTTGTCATTCCACGGTCTTCTCACAATACCCACTTTATAACCCTTATTCTGAAGGGCCAGAAAGTTCGCGGGTAAACGTGCCCCACATTTTTCTGAGAGTCTGGAAGGCCTTCCGGACCATCAGGATCGAAATCGCCGATGTGGTGCAGCGTGTGCGGGCCCTGTGATTTCAGTTGCATATGTATGCGGGAATAGCACGAGCACATGGATGTAAAACGTTTGCACCATTCCCCACAGGCAGAAAAAGTCACCGGACCGCGTGCAGAAGGAACTTGGGTACCGCTATCGTGCTTGACATACATTTCTGACATCATGGAGTGTGGAATACGAGGGAGATAGGTAATTTGGCCAAGACGAGTGCGCGGAACCACCGATGTCGCCTTGGACCACCATATATACGTTTCCGTTTTGAATCCGACCAAAGCACTCTGGTAGCGACACATATGATCAACATTAAATGGGTCGAATAGGCATGGAAGAAGCCAGTCTCAGTCAAAATGAATCTAGGCACCTTGTGAGACAAGTCAAAGTCATATCGAAGATAGGTTATCGCGGAATGCCACAGGAGGGCTCTGAGGGTGGGTCAGTCGGGTTGATGAGAGCAAGGTAGCGAAAAGGCCTCCACGAAGCGCCCGTGAATCGGGAACTGATAAGCGCGGTTCCTGCCGTTAATGACTAAGCCGGAAGCATTCAATTCATCTCCGATGGCTGTACTTCTCGAGATTATGTAAGAATTCTCCGATCAGGGTAGCATCTGAATGATTCCGCTCTATGACTGGTTGACCAACTGCAACTTCGCGCGTCGTCGTCCGACGACGACGAGGGCGTCCAATGCTCTCTTGCATACCACGAATACACCAATACTCTATACGAACTGGGCTTCTACTGGCCATGTCGAAAAGGCCGCTAGCAACGAACTCAGCTGTGTCGCCTAGAAAGAAGGTGAAGAAGGACAACGGAGGGCAACAGAGCATCGCGTCGTTCTTCGCGTCACCAAAGTCTGTTAAGGCAAACGGCACTGCGTCTTCGATCCCAGCTACAACAACAGGGATCACTAGGTCTGACCCAATTGAGCTACTCGACGACGATGAGGAGCTGGCGCGGAAGCTTGCCACCGAAGACGGGATGGATATAGACGAGATCCGCGCCGAAGAGGCTAGATGGAAGAGTGCAACTGCCGCCGTTGCACATGTCAAGGAGGAGAAAGATGCGGTTTCGATCACTGCCAACCTTTCAGAGACGAGCCAATCCCCGAGCAAAGCAGTATCCACGCGGCATATCAATCTCGCCACCTCAACAATGCCGAAATCAATGCCGACCCCCGTCGCCTTACCGGATCTTGGCATCGATCCGCTACTGAATTCGCTCGAAGCATGCCCATGGTCGGGCTCGAATGCTCCTTTCGCTTTCTTATCGAATGCATTGATATCCCTGTCAGGCACACGGAGCCGTATCTTGATTCTGAACATCCTAACGAATACCCTGCGTTACATTATCGCATACGACCCAGCAAGCCTCACCGCTGCTGTATACCTTTTATCTAATTCGCTCGGTACATCATTAAATACATTTGCATGCACATCGGTTCTGAATGTTTCCAGGTCCTGCATACCAAACTAACACTGAGCTCAACATCGGAGGCTCGGTTTTGTCCAAAGCTCTCCTAGCGACAACCTCTCTCACCCCTGCCAAACTCCGCCATCTCTACCACCAACATGGTGATCCAGGAGATGTTGCTTTCCATGCGAAAACTTCAGTTCGCACCCTCGTCGCACCATCACCGCTCACGATCCAAGGCCTGTACGACAAGCTCCTTGCAATAGCGGGCGCGAAAGGTCAGGGTGTCGTTAAACGTAAAGAAGAAATTGTGCGTGGACTGCTGGTGCAAGCTCAGGGCGAAGAGGTCAGATGGGTGTATCGGATCCTTTCTCTCAACTTGCGTGTCGGAGCGGTAAGGAACACGCTTCTCCAGGCAGTAGCAAGGGCATTTGCACTGTCCCAGCCTGAGAAATCGATGCTGAAGAAGGAAGATGATGAATACGTGCCGGAAGAGATAAAGGCACAGGTGTTGCCGCCGCCCAAGGGGAAGAAGAAGGCACCTCCAGATCCGGCCAGGACGAAGGCTACTGAGATCCTGCTAAAGGCGGAAGGAACGGTCAAGCGGACGTACGCACAACATCCAAACTATGGTCACATTATCAGAGGCCTTCTGAATGGGAGATTAGGGGAGCTCCCAGATAGGGTACCACTGACCGTTGGTGCGTTGCCAGTGCTCTTCCTCCGTATATGCGTCGACATTTACCGCGTTGTGTAGGAGTACCTCTGTTACCTACTCTCGGAAGCCCTATGCGCAGTCTTGAAGAGATTTACGATCGTCTCTCCGGTCTGCCGTTCGCCGCAGAGATGAAATACGATGGTCAGCGCGCACAGGTCCATGTCAGCGTGCTCAAAGATTCGGAAGATTTCACGGGGGACAATGGCGTGCAGAACAATCAGTTCGTGGTAGATATTGGCGATGGGAGGAAAGCGAGCGTGAGGATGTTCAGCAGACATCTGGAGGACATGACGGATAAAGTGCGTTAGCCCATGACATGATGTCGTATGTTTCCCTGACAAGATCTGCAGTACCCAGACGTCCTGGTGATGCTCGCATCTGTCCTTGCGCGCAACCCGTCACTCGAATCGTTCATCTTGGATTCTGAGATCGTCGCTCTTGACCCAGCAACTGGATCGCTGAAATCATTCCAGGAGTTGAGCAATCGAGCTAGGAAGGATGTTAAGCTTGAGGATGTGAAGGTCTCGGTCGGCCTCTTCGTCTTTGATTTACTGTACTTGAATGGCCAGGTACGTTTCAGCGCACCCCATGGTGAAGTCCCATGTAGCTCACACGTTTCTAGCCTTTGTTGAGCAAGACATTTCGCGAGCGCCGTGCTACGTTGCGGCAACACCTACCGCCTTACACGCCACAAGACGTCCGATTGTCTGCGCGCCTGGAATGGGTCGAAAGCGTTGATTCAGAAGACGGAGAAGATGTCGTGCTGGGATTCTGGGAGCAGGCCGTTGCGGGGAAGTATGAGGGGCTGATGCTGAAGATCCTTGACAGTGGAGAGGTTCTCGATGACGATATTGGAGTATCTAGTGATGCGGAAGATTCGCCTAAGAAGAAGGGAAAGAAGAAAGTGCAGGAGAAGGAAGAAGAGAAGAGCAAGAAGAATGGGTCGAGGAGGAAACCGTTGCCTGCAACGTATGAGCCTGGCACGTAGCGTGCTAAATACACTGGATGATCACTGATATGCCCTGTCTAGATAAGCGTACAATGGCATGGCTCAAGCTGAAGAAGGACTATGTCCTTACCACTGGCGATTCACTCGATCTGATTCCCATTGGTGCTTGGCATGGTAACGGCAGGAAGGCACGATGGTGGAGTCCGATCCTCTTGGGAGTATGGGACGAGAACGAGGGGAGGCCGGTTGCATTATGCAAATGCATGAGCGGTGCGCCTGAACCTCTTTCGCATACACCCACATCCTTATTTCTTACAGGATTCACGGATGTCTTCTACAAGAGCCTGAACGAGAGGTACCAGGAGGGAAGCGACACCTGCTCCCGTACCCCGCTTTGGGATGTCGAGACTAGCGGATACTCCCCCTCTGTATACTTCAAGCCGCAAGAAGTGTGGGAAGTTCGAGGGGCAGACATTACGATCTCCCCAACGTCTGTCACCGCCAAGGGCATGATCGACCCTGAACGCGGGTTGAGCCTGCGGTTCCCACGGTTTATGAAGCTACGCGAGGACAAGGGGATCATGAACGCCAGCACGCCTGAAGATATTGCGCATATGTATCGGCAGCAGGAGGCGCGTGGGGATGGACGGAACGCAAAGGCCACTACGGGGATGGACGATGGAGAATTGATCGATGTGCCGTTTGAGAGTGATGCTGTGAACGAGGAGAGCAGCGGGGCAGAGGATCAGAAGGAGTGAACGATGTGGTCCCATGTAACCATATTTGATTCAACAGCCATGATGTACACTAGTGCAATGAGTGGTGCTGTAGTGTAATACAATGCGTTACCACGCTCCAGTCCTTTCCAGTTGGATCATCGACTGCTTCCCGTAATCTGTCTCTTCATACTCCTGACACTCCTCCTCAGACTTGGTCGGTTAAATACCCTCCTGCTGACCCGCTCCTGCCACGGCGTTGGCCCTTCCAATGTCAACTCCTCTTCTTCTTCCCAATCAGCATCCTCATCCGGGATCTCGTCGTCCTCCCACGTCTCCTCTTCCGCCCACTTCAGGCCAAACACCACGTCCCTCACATCCTCATGCAACGTACTAGCCGTACTGGGTGTCTTAGGCATCCCCTGCACAGGCCTAGCGAGCGCGGCCGCAAGCGCAGGGCCAAAAACAGGAATGTAGGCGATTGCCCCATCATGTACTCCCGCAGGTACGGACACCGAGGCAAGCGAGATAGCGGAAGTGGCGCTATTGGACCGGGTGGTGGAAGAAGCAGTGTGTGGCTGGTATTCTCCATGTTTGCCCGGCTCGGCCAGCTCAGAGAGGGGAGAAGGCCCATGCAGCATCACTTCTACTTCTTGCCACAGAGCTGTGACGCTCTCCGCCGGTCGGAGGGAGCAAGGAGTTACGATAGAGCTCGTGTACTCGCCCGCAAAGACCATGTCTTGCTCGGCTTCTAGAGAAGGGGTGTCGCCGTACGAGCTTGCGCTGTAGGCCGTCACGGCGCTGGAAGTGGAGACGTGGCGGAGCGCGGGGCGGCGGTGTACAGAGGCTCTGCTGGGGGGGACGCGAATGGGGAGTTCTTCAGCTAGTTGATGGCGCAGTTTGCCTGGCTCGACGAGGAAAGTGTTCCCTTCTTCTTCTGGTTCTGGTTCTGGTTCTGATATGGGGGAGGAAGGATGGACGGGAGGGAGTGCAAGTGGTGCAGGCCGGTTGATGACGCTGATGCGCTCTGTGATAAGTGGGCGTTCGGGAGGGGTGCTGCTTGTGGGGGGAAGGGTATCATTCCGCGCTTGTGGCTGGGGACGCCCGAGGGAGGGGATGTACTGCTGCGCATCCTGCATCGACACTGGGTTGAGGGGAGGCGTCTTGGGAGGGGTTAACGGCGCTTGAGGGAAGAGGAACATCGTGTCCCTCTCCCTTTTCTGCTTCTCCATTGGCTCAAACTCAGGGTGCCCAAGCACCGGAGGCTGGCTCTGTAGCGCCTGCCTCCTTCTCAGGCTCTGCAGCGAGCTACCGTAGAGCGGCACTCCCTGGCCATTGTCCCTTTTCTCTCTTTTGGCCGCAGGGCTGAAAATCTTCTGAGAACCGCGTTTCCTGGGTCGAAGAGGGCTGGAGGTCGTCGTGGGCGGAAGTCCGTGCGTGCTCAGCTTGAGAGAAGGCCTGCGGAATATGGGGGAAGTAGTAGGAGACTGATGTTGCAGCCTTGTGGCTCGTGGGGTTTGGACGGGGTGTAGGCTCGGCCTGCGGGGGGCCGAGGGCCGTTGGGGGGTGTTGACGGAAGGGAGGAAAGTGGTGCTAGGTGCGGCGCTGGATGGGCTGGGGGTGATGGATGGGGGGTGGAGCTGGGGGTGGTGGGACTGAACGAGAGAGGTGTATACCAGCACGTGAGGGGCGGGTGACGTGGGAAGTGTAGGCTGCGGGGGATTGGGTTAGAGAGGTTGTGTTGAGGAGGTGGAGACAAACCTTTCGCGGAGTAACGAGTTGCCGCCGAGGACGAGGACCGTACATCACTGTCCCTCCTGAGCCTGTACTGGATTCACTGGCGGTGCTTGAGCTGCTCAGCCGGTTGGTGTTCGGCGAGCTGTTCGTGCTTGCGGCAGGCCTTGGGCCTCGGACGGGTGGAGGGCGGGGGGCCATGAGCTGCGTTTCTGAGGGTTTGCGGGGGGAAGTTGGAGATGTAGTGGTGGGTGATACTGTAGGTGTCGGCAGGAGTAGCTTGCTCTTCTGGGAAGAGAACCCTTTGTTCAGACTGCGGGGTGTCTTTGAGGGGGTCGCTGAAGACGAAGCAGGGGATGAGCGCCTAGCAAGTTTCTCCTCTGCTCTCACGCGGGTGCGTTCAAGAGGATGCGTTGGAGTGGGCATGTTGTGCCCAGGAAGGCGCGAGATATAGGTCATCGGAACCTGTGGGGCGCTGATCGACGAGCTGTGAAGTGCAGAGCGGGCGGACAAGTGAAGCGCTTACGAGCGGGGTGACCGGAGAAGAACGTATAATTCTTAGCACTGCCAGAATGCAGAAGATATAAACCTCTGACTGCAAGGAGTGTCGCAGTACTGCGAGTGCGGTGTCCCACTTGAAGTAGAGGGCGATACACTGACTCGGACTCGGACATCCGCGACTCGGACATGATCTGTCAGCCGTCCGCACTCTGAGAATCCCAGTTTCCGCAGATGATCAGTACTCTGCCGACATTCGACATTTCCGACCCAGCAAGTATGCGCTCAGTTGTCCAGCATTTCGGATAGAGGATAACGACTCGGAAATCCAAGTTATGATAATCCTGCCAGTCGTGTAGCGGTTGGAGGAGAGAGAGATGTCGGCTGTGCTCCGTGTTGGCGATGCACGGCGGTGCAATACACCGGAACCGCTCCGCAATATTTCCGTCACCAAGGGTTCATGATATCCCCGCGGAGAAAGGCCGTCACAGAAGATCACGTGTTCATCACATTCCGAGTCAAGTTGTTTGGTGAAAAGCAGAATTACGCTCTACAAGTACTCATCCGGCATCGGGATGAGCGTCTCGTTTCCTGCTGCACACATCGCAGGATGATCCTCTGGCAAAGTGATAATATCCGACATCCGCACATCCAAGCACTGTCCACAGAACATCAACAACACATTAGTATCACGTCCATCAGTGTCCTCTCGCGCGGTACGTACCCAGTATTGTACCCCACCAGTTGGGGCAACGGCTTGGAAGTACATCACTCCATACTCCCCTTCCTGCGTGTCAAAAGGGAGAGTGACGTTCACACACAGCTGTCCACTCGGGGCAATAGGTACGTCGTCAAATATCGCATGTGGGAAGTCCTCTGCGCTCCTGGGCACCCGGGTGCGTGTGTACCGCGCTGAGACTAGATCCCCCGGATGGCCAGAGAAGGAGAGAAAGTTCCGGTAGATACGGCCGTACCGCTGGGGGTTGTGGATGATGTCTCCTGTACTGGTCGTTAGCGGTGTTGGAGACAGGAGAGGGAGGGGACCGACCGCAGAAGGGGACAAAGCGCTGGAGTTCAGGTTGAGTCTTGGGATATTGCGTGCGTGTCATCCACGGGAACTGGACGTGAAAGTTGGCGTGCGCGGCGGACGCCTGGTTCGCCCACACGAGGAGGAGGAGAGCGTTGAGGAGGGAGGACAACATGGGAGAGCTCGGGGGGATGGAGTGGGGGTTTGGGCTGGGACTATCTCAAGAGCAGACCAAGTACGGCCAGATGAAGACTCGCGAACCAGCGACATCTTGTTATTCCTTGCGTTTTTCCCGAACGAGTGTGTTGTAAGATTACGGTAAGCGACGAGTCAACAAGGGTATAAGTGGTCAGAACGAAGCCGTCCGCGTCCAGTCACGATTCCAAGTCCTGGTGATGCCCTGTACCGGTTATCTCACTAGTCCTCTTCCAGCTTGCATATGTATATTCCTCTTGCCAGCAGCCGAGGATATCTTATCCCGATTGGGAAATGATACACCGCAGTCATCCCTCCACGTGCCCCTTGCTCTGTCTGGTCTTCACCACGTTCGGTAACCACAATGTCTTAAGCTTGGAACGAGTCATTAGTTCTCGCACACTGCAGAATTATCTTCAACATGACAATGTCTCTATCCCAATTCGGGCTGATGTATTCTCAAGGATCCCAACTGTCGAGCCTCACCTCAGGCTAACCGCACATAACTCCCCCCTCCCCCTTTACCTGGGGAGCACCTGCAGCTCATCATGTTCTCCCGCACTACCCAACCGCCCGAGTACACCGCCCTCGCCCTTCACGCAGAGGATGAGCCCCTGACCAAAGACGTCGATCGCGACTCTGACCTCCCCGCCCAATCCGGATCAGACGATTTCCCACCTGTCCAACCTCAGTCTCAGCTCTTGCCTAAGCTTGTGTTGTACGCCTCCCTCGCTCTCGCTCTTCTCTCAACGGTCAACGTACTTCTCCTCCCTACAACGTTGCACCAGTATCTTTCCTACCCGTTCTCGGAACAGGAGCTCAAGGACTTGCCCTTCCCCGACCAGAGGCTCGGGTTGGACAGAGCGGCTGCGGCGATCCCTCCCCCTCAAGTCTACTACCGCGCCTGGCCGGACCGGATCGTGCGCGTTAGCCGGAAGCTCAAGAACGCTGTGTATGGGGATGGAGTGCAGGTGTACGTCACAGTCGAGGTAGTTCCGGTGCTTTCGTTCTATGAGCGTGAGCGCTGATGGAGAGACTTGTAGGACTCGACAATCATGCGCTTCCCGGTCCCGGAGCAAGGGAACGCTTGTGCCGTCAGTTGGATACCCCCTCCTACGTACTCGGGGCGGAATAACGACCTGACGACAAAGGGTGACATCTCGGAGGTCGAAGTCTGGTCTGTCCTCCCCTCCCCCTCCTCTACGAACCCATACCCGGGAGAGGGGGAGATCGAATACGAGAACATCTCGTATTCCACGCTGCCGCGGGGCGAGCTACTGGGAGTGCTGGACTTGACCCAAGGGCCTAATTCGACTACGCAGGAGTTTGCTTGCCCCCGAGATGGGGAGGCGTTGGTGGTCGAGTTCATGTGTCAGCGGGTTGCGTGCCATGTTTCGTTTATGCAGATCGAGATGGAGCCTAAGTTTGGTATGTCGTGATGGGATAGGGTAGTGGGCTGTACTGATTGAGATTTTAGGTTTTGAGCTTGTGCGCCGGAAGATGTAAAGGGAGTGATGAGAGGATGGGAAATGTTCTTGTATTGACAACTTGTAGTCGACCACAATGCGATGTCGTGACAAGCTTCGTGTGCGGCCGCTAACTCGGTCACTCGGTCATGATCGACTTATATGCCTTGGTCATGAGATGAGATACTTCATTATTTTACATAGTATGCATAAGCTTAGGTGCTCCAGCCCTCTAGGAAACAAACCAGCATTAACACCTTCAACGGCTCACAGCATCTCAGCATACTGATAACACAGCGGCCACTGCTCATGGTCAAACATGCTGCTCACGGGGACAGACACCGATAAGCGGTCAAATTCCATCAGATGAGTCGTGCTGGCATTGGGCGAGTAGTGCGGGTTGCTCAGGTTTGTGGGGTTGAGCGGTAAGCCGGAGAAGGCGTCGAAGTTCAGGGGATCGACGACTTGCCACTGTATGTTTGTTAGATCCATGATAAGGCTCAGATATAAGGAGAACACACTTCACTCCATAGCCGGTCTAGCTGCGCATGATGTAGCCAAAACAGCGGGTCATTGGGCGTGTACGCGATCGCCATGCCTCTACAGTCCTCCCGCGGCAGATCCCTCGGACAGTCCCCGGCCATATCTCCTCCCACCAGGTTATGGACATGATTATGCATCAGGGTCATGTACCACTGGAACTTCCAGAAATCCCCTGTGGTGTGCAACGTAGCGTTCTGGACGAAGGAGGGGCCGAGGGTGCTGTTCTGCGGTTGCTCGTCTTCGAACCAGCCGGTGAGGAGCGTGAGGTTCCGTCGAAGATGATGAGGGAGCGGCCAGGCGAGTGTGAAGTCTCCTGTGTCGGAGCTCGGAGAAGGAGCAAACGCGCCGGTGGTGACGACACAGTCTGCTTCGGAGAAGGAGTCGCAGTCACCTGTTCCGCCAAGCCCGTGCTCGGGGTCGGGGTCGAACACCGGCGAGTGGAACAGGTCTGCGTGATCCTGCGACCAGTCCCAGAATGGTGTTGGACCAGTATATGCACAGGTGCTGCGGAGCTTAGAGTCGAAGAGATGGAGAAACCAGCGATCTGGACTTGGGTTAGGGGGAATCTTGGGTGATCGAGGGAGATGTATGCGTACGCCAGGGCAGGAAGTAGGGCTTGAAGTGCGCCGTACTGTCCATCACTGCGTGTGCATAGGAGAAGTCGTCGTACAGGCTGTGGTCACCATGTAGCACAGTCTGATCCGGGGTGAAGGACAACCGTGGATGTCGTATGTTCCCCAGGCACTGCAATCTTTTAGTCGACGCTTGCAGGATGGCGAAGGAGCACGGACCTTGACCGCTCTGATCCACTCTGCTCGCTCGTTCAACGTCAATGTCCTCCATTCCCTCCTTGATAACAGCTTGTCACATTTCCTTGGCGCAACGTCCTCCCCGTTCGCACAGGCGAGGTGCGTCCCAGTGAGCAAAGCCACAACGCACAGGAGGATGAGCGGGCGTCCCATGTCGACTCTGTCACGCAAGCACAGACCAAGCAGAGGAGATGGCCGCAGCTCGTCTCTCTACCGAGCTACTGCTCATTATGAAGAAGAAGTACGATGGTCTTGGAGCGCTGCTTCGCTGTTGCTGAGTGGGTCGGCTAGGAAGTCCCTTGACGCTTCGCGAATTCGTCGAAATCCCGTCTCCGCTCTATTCATGTGCTCGGCCCCACTTCCCATATTGGAGATGTAGAGCATATCTGGTAGAGTAGCCGCTGCCGTTGTATAAGCACACTCGTACAGTACATTCGTAAAAGTAAAGTCCAGACAGCGAAGCATCGCTTTACAGCAGTGGAGCGCTGCGAGCAGAGCAGCTGTGCCGACTTCGGCGTTGCATCCTTGTGGGAGAACCACTCAACTCCGAAGCAGAGTAACGACTGGAATTGCATTGTCTAAAGAAGCACATCTACTCTTATCGACTGTACAGGTCACAAACAGGCACAGGAGAAGTTTTCGGTAAAGAGTGTAGGCTAGCAATCCAACTTTATCCCAAATACTGATTTCGTACTGGCAATAGGCCAAAAAGCTCCGAAATCAAGGCCAATTCCGAAACAGGTCTAAACGAAAGCGCTTTCACCACTCCCCATGCGTCACGTGATGGTTGAGTACTCGGGAAATATGATTCGTGGTGAAGGTGGGCATGTGCATATCGCGGTTGAGAGTATTAAGGAGTTTCTAGTTGCATGGATGAGCGATATGAATCGTGGTAAACGCTGCGCACCTACTTGTTCCAGAGCGAGATCTTTCAAGATGTCATGCGAGGCAGTGATGACAATATCCCCTACAGGAGTATGCAAGAAACCGTGTAGGATGGCATGAAAGACACGCATGAAGGGTATCGTAACGATTTGTAGCGTAGTGTGTTGGTGTCTCGCACAGACACGCCAGTCCACTGAGTGATCCGCAGAGAGGAACGCGGTCGTTAAATACTCCACCATGGTTTTCTATGCGTTTGGATGCAAAGGGAATCGGAGGTCAATTCGCAACAACGAACGATTCGGGTTGATAGAGTCGCCGGCTGTGGCCGACTCGACTCAAGGACCAAAAAGCTCTCCCTTCCTGGCCGCTAGAGGTATACACTATTCCGCGTTGCAAGTTCAGAAATCCAACCGCAGCGCTAAGGCGGAGCCCGCAAACTAAGGCGCAATATAAAGACCTGTTCCCATAGTCAGTCAATCTTATCTCGAAGGACACGTATGCGGCTCCTCACAGATCAGAAAGCCGATCTAATCTTCTTCATGACAGAGGTATATCCTTCAGAGAAGTGGTGGAGAGAAGTCGCCACCGGTGCTATTACTGTACCGGAAATAAGGTTTGGGCAAGATGCGAGATTGGATTTAGCAGAATTGTCCTGGGCGTAACAATCTTCCTGCTCGTCATTACGTACAGACCAGCAACCGTACGTAAATCCAGGAAGTCCGAGATCTCTGTGAGAACAAAACACAGACACTTGCCGCCGCGGTACAGTCCGCGCACTTCTTGCTTCTAAGTACCCTGCCAAGATGATCGTGTTACACAAAGCAGTTTCCAGTAGTTTTTTCTGCACAAAAGTGCACCATCATATCAAGTAAGCAGTTCCAGAGGAAGGTATAAAAGCTAGCAGAGCGGCGGCGACGATCCCCGATGTTCCCGACATGCCAGACGGGGTGCAAGAGACGCGTCGACGCGACTGATTTGCAGGTCTTGCCTTTGAAGCCGGAGTTTTATCTCGGCTCCGAGACATTTTTGTCGAATCCATCCCAAGTTTGAAGTGGGCAAAACATAATAACAGTATTCTAGATCGCATTTTCTCATTAACAGAAGTTGGAGCTAATAAAAATAAAAGCCATTTCTATTTTGACAGATGACGTTTGCATGTGAATTGAGCAAAAGAAATTAATAGTCGCGGGGACAATACTTTTATCTCGTTTCGGAGCCACAGATGGGAATCGAACAAGCGACCCCAACGTCTGTCTATGTGGGTTCACGATATAGTAACCCCAGTGACCTTAACCACTGCACCATCGAACTGGCGGCGAGGGGAGACCCCTGTTCTTCACTTTTCACGACCTACAGGGCTCTTGCCTCCGCCCTTACTAAATTTACCTTTTG